AGCATGGAGCCATAGCAGTTCAAGTGGTGTCAACCTGCATTAGTTCTACAGTGTTGATGCATCCAAAGTTCACAGCTACTTTTGCAGTTATGGTAATTCTGCACAAAAGGTTTCCAAATGAGGAGCTTAAGAAGTTGTGGTTTCCAGGCATCCTGGAGCCTGCAGCAATGAATCCATCTGACCTTTCATAGGAGAGGGGATGAGGGCGAAGGAGAGAACCAGCTTCTCGCTGCTGAGCTGGATGGACCTGACACATTCTCCTTCAATGCAAGAACTCCAAGGGAAACAGCCTGTCTTGGCTTGCTGGCATAGACGAAGCATTAACAAGAGTCCTCCCAGTTGGGGAAGAAATCATCCTTTGTTCATCGGTTTTGGCCTCCTGTTCGGCAGTACTAATTGTGATGCTTCAATAGCCCTTGCAAAACATCACCTCATTAAAATGCCAAATAGACTTCTTGGAGAGTTCTTCATTATCCTCAGGGTCAGCATCAGAAATGCAGCTTGGGGTTTTTTGGTTTTTTTGTACAGCGGCAAATATGCAATAACCCCCAAAGGAACCATATAAGCTCTTTTCCCATTGTAGATTTGCCCGCCCAAATGGCTTATATCAAGTGCAGGAATCTTTGTGGTGTAGTCGCTCAAAAAATATCCTTTCCCATGCAGGTGGTTTCCAAATGGCTTATATCAAATGTAGGACTCTTTGTTGTGCACTAACTCATGAAATATTTTTCACCATGCTGGTGATTTCCAGATGTTTTGAACAGCATCTCTCATCATTTCCTTCTGACATAGTTAGTAACTAGGGGATAGTTAATAGATACTGTGGGTTGAAACATTAGCACACATTTCACTACCACAAGGAAGGGTTTATGTAAACATTCTGGGGTTTCTAGATTGTCATTCCTATATCTGCCACAAGACTTGAGGATTTATGTGGAAAATTCATTTTTATAACTATTTTTGTGTGTCAGTGTGCACACAGTTCCTTCACATTGTCTTCAGATTGGACTACTGCAATGCACTCTACGTGGGGCTATCCTTGAAAACGGCCCGGAAATTTCAATTAGTTCAATGAGTGGCTGCCAGGTTGTTAACTGGTCCTCCATACAGGGAGCGATCAACCCTTCTGTTTAAGGAGCTCAATTGGCTGCCGTTCATTTACCAGTCCCAATTTATTATTTATTTATTTATTTATTTCGGTTTCTTCTACCCCATCCTTCTGACCCCGAAGGGGACTCAGGGCGGCTTACAAAGGCACCAATCGATGCCAG